GATTCCTGTCAGAGTTAAGACAACAACGAAAGACAGAAAAAGTGGGGAAAAAGAGCCCTTATGAACAGGAGGCACAATTCTCAAAGAGGACTTCAAAATTCAATGTTAAGAAAGAAAAAGGCTCCCATTCAAATGAACCAATTATCTAGCTACTTCCTGTACTCATCAAGAATAAGGTGATAATCAACATGTGGCACACCACTGAGCCGCAAAATGGCAGTAAAAGATTTCTCCATAAGACTGTCAAGTCAGAGTTTTACTCAACAACAAAAGTTTTACAATCATTTTTATTAAGAAATCATGCCTGCTAAGTCACATAGTTCCTGTAACAAGCAAGATATTGCAGAAAGATAGCCCTTGGTCAAGCTTGAACTATGTGACTTAGCAGGCATGATTTCTTAACGAAAATGATGCTCTCTATGCTGTATTAAGTTCATCTTGTTTAACTTCTCGATAAGCAAAAGAAGTTTCTATTAGCAAAACTCTTCCCTATCTCTCTCTTGATACACTACACTTGAACAATTTGGGTTCTCAAAGTTCTCTGGTTCTAACATAACCAGACTCTTAAAATTGCTAAGGAGCACAAGCAGGCAAAACTTGAATCAACAAAATAAATCGATGTTTCAGGTAAGTTGTTACTTACTTGGTACATCAAGGATTCGAATAGTCATTCTCCTGAACTTGAGGCTGGAAATAGGTTTGTTGCGCTAATAATAATTATTTTAATTGCCTCACCTCTTTCATCTTATTTTCGAAGTTAGACAGACGATTCTTCAAAGACTAGTTTTCATTTTCAGTTGCACGTAGCTTAGCCAATAATTCAGTTTTTGAGGAAGTTCCACCTTTCAAATTTTTCGCCTTTACTCCACCCCCCAAGCCAAATACATGACTACAACTTTGAGGTCAAAGCATTGTTCTACAATCTCTATAGTAGGAAGTGACGGTTCGGACTGCACCAATTCCTTGATTTGAGCCTACAAAGAATATAGATAAATTTTTGTCAGATCTCATAATAACTAAAAGTAAATAACATTTTTCAATTAACCAAACACACATGTTTCTTGATTATTTCTGGATCAACAAATGTCTTATTCTTCTTGCGAGTCTCGAAGAAAATTCTTGCCAAATCTGGTGGTTTGCCATCTTTTCCGCCCTTTATATAAAATTAAATATGTCAAATAACGTCTCTTCAATATTATGAAAAAATAGATTTGATGATCACACCTTTTGATAAATAATCTCTCTAATTGGCTTGCTACCAATATGATGAAGCATCTTCAACTTAGTTTTATTTGCTGCATTCCTATTACTTCTCGCCTATATTTGAGCAACAATAATAAATTCAAATGCTATAAATAAATTATCAGTTAAAAGATAAAAGTATAAATATAATTACACAACTAGGTATTATGTCAAACCTGAAAACTTTCAGTAGCAAAATGTTCCTTTACCAACCACTCCCATTGTTTCTTATCTACCCCCTTGGGCACATTCTTAAGAGCCTCTTGTATTGGCTTACCCTTCACATACTTTGCATGCAATTGTCCTCTCCATTTGTTCCATAACTCTTTCATCCATCCCAAAATATGATTGCGATGAATATCCATGTCATCACTCTCAAATTTATCCTGCAAAATATTATGAGGAAAATATTAGTCGATATCCAATCATCACAGAAACTCCATGTGATAGAGGAAAATATAGTTCTACAATGAGTCTTGAAATGATCTGGCCAAATTATAAAAATTAAAAAAAAAAAAACCTTAGCTTTATTTTATTTTTGTCAATTTCAAACATAGAACTCACAGTTTTACTTTATTTTTGTGAAAAACGTGATAAGAACTCAATAATTAAGTGCCAAGAATGGTAAGAAAAGAGGAATCAAAGAAGAAATTGGAATAATCCATCAAGTTACCGTCACAGCTGCCCACATGTAATTTAACTTTTCCTCCTTAATGCGATCCCAGGATGATACTCCCAGCGGGCATATATTATGGTCACAAACTATTTTTCCCAAGTTCCTCGAAAATAGATTACTATTCTTTCCAACCATTCGATTATTATAAAATGTTACTTTTAGCTTCTCTCCAATTTCAAGTGATGCAACTTCTTTGCACTTGTTACTTCCTCGAACCTTTTTTACCTTTCCAACAGTACATGAACCTACATTTGCTTAATTTATAAACATCAAAAAATATTATAAAAATGATAAACATGTAATCAAATAGATTTGAGAAACCACACTTGTTTCAATTGTTTGCGTGGACTACATAACTTGATCAATAGAAGGAGAAAATGGAATATCAGTTTGCATATTCTCTTTCTCACGAACCAAAGAGTTAATATTCTTTGTTCGCAATCCTTGAGCGGCAAACACGGTAGAGTCTAATCTTGTACTCTTAGAAGGTCTTGACATACTTTGACTTGCATAATGAGCATTCTGATGAAAGGATTGTTCCTCATTTTCAGACTCTTCAAAAGAGCACATAGATCTAAGTTCTCGTCCTTGTCCTTTCCCTAGAGTACCTGATATAAGAAATTATATTACCAAAAGTTTGGCATTAAATTAAATTTAGTTAAAAAAAAAAAGAATAGAAGTGAGAATTTACAACACATTACGCCGTAAACTATTTTCATTATTTTACGACGATGCATTTCCAACTTCAAAAGGAAAAATAGGCGCATGGTACTAGAGAGACATACTTGATGTTTTATTGTATGTTCACTACAAACGGGATTATCACTTGCAGTGAGGGTCTTAAATTGACCTCTGTAACAATTGGATCCCATAGACATCAAAAGCATTTGCATGATGTCTGAACATATCCATGGATATATGAAGATGTGTTTAATCCCTATGATTTAATGAAGAATGCATACACAGTTATAGATAAGAAGGAAAGGTAGCTTAACAATGATAACATCCAGAATTGGCCTAAGAAGGATCAAGTTTATCCTCGTTTATCGAGCAAGACAGGTGTTGATGTAGCCGGGGCTGTTGTTCTTCATTGCTGTGTTTTGGGTTTTTTTTTCAGTTTTCACAGCAATCTTCACATTTCCACAAGAAAGGGCAATGCTGAACAAGGAACGATCTGCTGACATGTACAGATTAAGCGTATATTTTTTGGCTAGAACCACCAGTGATATTCCACTGGATCTTATAATGCCAGTGCTCTTCCCTTTAGTGGTATATTTCATGGCAGGATTGAAACATGAGGCTGATGCCTTCTTCCTAACTGCGCTTACAACTTTCCTCTACATTTTAGCAGCTCAGGTATTCCATTTTGTTTTACCTTTTTTCATATATAAACTGGCTGTTTCCCTACCATGGTGATGTTTTGAATCGAGCTACTACTGGAAATAAACAACACGGGGTTGCACTGGTGAATCAAGGAATTAGGAGTAGTATTGATGCTTGAGAAACTATGCAAGTAAGGAAGGATCAACAGAAAAATCTTCCTGCTGGTATCCCTGCAGCTACTGAAGTGGATGGTGTTTTACAGGTTGGGAATCCATGTTTGGATGCTACTAATGCTGTGAATGCAACTGGTGTGATTGAGAGGAAGGCAACAGCTCTAATAGCTGCTACTGGAGTTGCTAAACTTCCTGCTACACTAGTTGATATACCTAAAAAACCAACAGCTCCTACAACTACTGTTGTGCAACAGACAGGTGTGGAAAAAAGAGATGGACAGGTGCTTGCTCCAGCCAAACCTGGACATGTTTTGAATGCTTCAGGAAAGTCTGTTACATCACACTTGGAGAAAGTAGATACGCAAGATGCAAAGAAGGAAAGCTGGACAGTGGTGACACAGAATACATCACCAGGCACGAAAAAAACCAGCAAATTTTGACTGTCTCAGCAGGTCGACAAAATGCTCAAATGACTGTCACCAGTCAAAACAGTTTTGAAATTTTAGCGAAGTTGGAAGGTTGTTGATATTAATCCACCAATCTTAAATAAGCCTAACTTGATGCAACAGTTAATACCATGTACTACCTATGGTGAGGAAGAACGAGGCAGTGAGAATTTCGCTAAGAAATTTGGTTTTCGACGCAACGCTTCGGAGAACAACTTGGCTGAAGTTTTGAAGGGTGATCGTGGATCTATTTCTAGCTCACCTAGACTGCATATTTCAAGTAACATGGTACTATGGGAAAAATCAGCGGTGATGATTAAAAAAAGAAATAACTACAGTGGGTATAAGGAAGAAAACTACTTGGAGATTTGGTTGGGGTGAGAAATTAATAGCCCCTTCCTTCCAACTTAGGACCAGGAAACATGTAATAAGCAATAAATTGTCAAGAAACATGTAATAACCAGAACTATACCAAATTTCTCAATAAAAAACAACACATACTTGTTTCAACTTTTTGGGTGGATTGCATAACTTGATCGTCAGAAGGAGAAATTGGAATATCACTTTGCATATGCTCTTTCTCATGAACAAAAAGATTTTTGTTCGTTGTTTGCAATCCTTGAGCAGCAAACATGGTATTCTTAGAAGGTCTTGACATACTTTGACTAGCATAATGATCATTCTGATGGAAGAATCATTCCTCATTTTCAGACTTATCAAAGGAGCACATAGATCTAAGCTCTTGCCCTCGTCCTTTCCTTAGAGTACCTGGTGTAAGAAATCATATTACTAAAATTTTCACATTAACTTAAATTTAGTTCTAAAAAAAAGAATATAGTTGAGAAACTATACTTGTTTCAACTTTTTGGGTGAACTGCATAACTTGCTCATCGGAAGGAGAAATTGGAATATCACTTTGCATATGCTCTTTCTCATGAACCAAAAGGTTTTTGTTTGTTGTTCGCAGTCCTTGAACAAAAGGCATTGTAAAATTTGATCTTCTACTATTAGAAGGTCTTGAAATACTTTGACTAGTATAATGAGTATTCTGATGGAAGGATCGCTCCTCATTTTCACACTCTTCAAGGGAACACATAGATCTAAGCTCTTGCCCTTGTCCCTTCTCTAGAGAACCTGGTGTAGGAAATCATATTAGTACAGAAAATCAAATCTAAATAATTACAAATTTGATTCTAAAATATAATAGCTTTAATAAACCCTACTCATTGAATTTTTTTGGATGTATTTCATAACATCAGCAGTAGATGAAAAAGATGAAATATTAGTTTGCATATGCCATTTCTCAAGAACCAATAAATTTTTATTCGTTGGTCCCATTCCAAATACCCCCAAAGAACACATAGATCTAAGCCCTCGCCCTCGTCCCTTCGCTAATGCACCTGGTATAAGGAAATCATATTAGTAAAAGTTTAGTACTGAATTGATAACACAATAAATTTGAGAAACCATACTAGTTTCAACACTTTGTTTGTATTGCATAACTTGATCAGTAGATGGAGAAAATGGAATATCTGGTCCAGATACCCCTAAAGAGCATATAGATTTAAGCCCTCTCCCTCGTCCCTTGTCTATAGCACCTGATGCAACAAATGCATATTTGGCAGTAGCTTTCACAGTGGTTGTCACCTCATTTTCATTCTTTGATGGTTTCATATCAAACCTACGAAAAAACAATTTGACATTATAACAATAATATACTAATAAAAAGATCATGTAATCAGAATGCATAACAATATAAATATGGTAATGGCATAAAGAGATACTTCACTTCAGTTGTTCTTTTTCGTTTATTTTGTATAGGTATTTCTAAATCAACATCACCATCTATTTGTTGCAAAATCTCATAGGAATCACGAGGTTGCGTCTTTCTTGCTACACGTCAACCCTTATTGGAGTTATCATTGGCATAAAATACTTGATATGCCTGGTCCACTAATACAAAAGGCTCATTTGTTTTCAAAAATCGTCCCCAGTTAACACTTACAATGTCATATTCATCTGTTTTAATTCCTTTCTTTTTATCATACACATCAAACCAAATACATTGAAACAAAATCACTCTTCTTCCGGTGAATTGCAATTCAACAACATCAGTTAAAACTCCATAGTAATCAATATTCTTACTATGTTCACCAGTCTCACCAACAACAACCACACCACAATTTTGAGTACTTAAATATTTATCATAATCTTCTACATGAAATCTATATCCATTAACAATGTAGCCATTATAATATAATACATATTGGGCAGGACCACGTGAAATTGCAAGAAGATCTTCCATGGGCCGACTATCATCTCTTTTATATAATTGTGCAACCTATCAAACAAGATAAAGTTGATTACTATAGAATAAGTAATATAATATTAGATTTTCAAATTTGATATGTTTATATTACTCACCCTATCTTTAAAACATTCGACAAATTGTCTGTTCCATTATGTATCAGACAAGTGTTAACTAGAATCTACATGAATTTGTGCGAACTCTCACAAATTTTAGTTAAACCATAAATGTCAAACATAAAAGAGAAACAATCCTCCGGGAAACAAGGAAACAAAATATGATATGAAGGAAATAATTTCATACTCTAGAAATGGTAGAACTTCATCACAATTCTTCAGTATGTATATATGTGCTTGCTCCAATTTATCTGCTTCAAGATCATGCTGTTTTGGAGCTCCTAAGGTTTTTCCAGATTTACAAAATTGAGATAAACCTCCATCAGAATTTCTTAAGCCACCATCATAATTTCGTTCTGGCCGATTGAACTTTGTGTCGATTCTATGCAGATACCTTGAACATAAGGTCATACATTCATTTGCAAGGTAAACTTTTGCAATGGAACCTTCTGGACAAGCTCTATTACCAATGAGTGATTTCAAAAAATATAACCATCATTCTATAAGATACATCCACCGATACTAAACAGGTCCAACAAGCTTAGCTTCATTAGCTAAGTGAGTAGGCAAGTGCACCATGACATCAAAAAATGAAGGAGGAAATACATTTTCTAACTTGCAAAGAGTTATAGGAATTTGAGCTTCAATCTGATCCAAGTCATCAGTCCTTAATACCTTTGCTCCCAACACATTAAAAAATAAAGACATCTCGATAAGGGGTTCACACACAGCTTTCGACAACATACCACGTAGTGCAAGAGGGAGTAAATGTTGTAGAAGAACATAATAATCATGACTCTTTAAGCCAGAAATTTTGTGCTCTTTCAAGTTAATACATTGAGAAATATTAGATGAAAATCCATCAGGAACCTTTAAATTCTTTAAGAAAAGGCATATGATGTGCTTTTCTTGGGAAGATAATGTGTAACATGTAGTTGGAACTTCATATTTTTCTCCATTTTTAATAGGGTGCAACGCCGGCCTAATGTTCATTTCTTGCAAATTTAGTCAAGTTTTAATGGTATCCTTGGTCTTTCCTTTGGCATTCATGATCCTCCCCAAAATATTATCATATATATTTTTTTTGATATGCATAACATCCAAATTATGTCGCATCAAGAGAGATTTCGAGTATGGAAGCTCAAAAAAGATACTCCTCTTATTTCAGTTATCTTTTCGAACATCATGTGATACCTTGATCCTCTTCTTTGGATCCTTTGTCAATTGTAACCCTTTAAGATCTTGCACTTGATTAAGTATCTCAATACCTGAACGCACTTTTGGTGGGAGCCTTTTCTCTTTTGTTCTATCAAATGATTCCTTATCATTCCTCCATTTGTGATTAAGAGGAAGGTAACGCCTATGACCTATAAAACATTGCTTCTTACTATTCTTCAATCTGATTGAGGAAGTGTTAATGTTGCAACATGGACATGCCAATTTACCTTTTGTACTCCATCCAGATAAATTTTCATATGCTGGAAAGTCATTGATGGTCCAAAGCAAAGAAGCATGTAACTTAAAATTCTGTTTGATCCATGCATCAAAGGTTTCAACGCCAATTTCCCATAACCCCTTTAATTCCTCTATCAAAGGTTGAAGATAAATGTCAATTGCAGCACCTGGACTATCAGGACCAGGAATAAGCATAGACATAATAAAATTTTCCTGTTTCATACACAACCAAGGTGGTAAATTATAAGGAATAAGTACAACATGCCATATACTATATGAGGTTTTTGAATTCCTAAATGGCTGGAATCCATCACTAGCAAGCCTAAGTCGAACATTATGAGGCTCGGTTGCAAATGAAGGATGAAGTTCATCAAATAATTTTCATGCCATTGAATCAGCTGGGTGCCTCATTGTTCCATCATCAACTCTTTTATTATGATGTCATGTCATTAGAGAAGATGCCTTTGTAGACATAAACAACCTTTGAAGCCTAGGCTTTAATGAAAAATAGCGTAAAGTCTTTGATGCTATTTTTTACCATTCTTATTCTTTTCTTCCCCGCTATGTTTATCTATTTTCCATCTGGATGCACCACAGACTTTGCATGAATCAAGTAAGTTATCGTCCTTCTAATATAACATGCAATCATTTATACAAGCATCAATTTTGTGGTATTACAGCCCAAGGTCCCTAATCACTTTCTTTGCCTCATAATATGAATTTGGCACATTCGCTACATCAGGCAAAAACTCATCCTTCAACATTTTTAATAATATTGTAAATGACTCATTGCTCCAAGGACCCATACTTTTTATGTGAAGCAGTTTAATTAAAGTGGAAAGCTTTGAACATTTCGAATTTTGGTATAGTGGTTGTTCGAAATCTTTCAATAGGCTATAAAACTTTTTGGCTTCAACGTTCGGTTCATCTCCAAGTAAATCATTATCACGAACGTCCGCAGTACCTCCATCATTATTAGGATATAAATCCCTCAACATTTCATGTATTTTATCCTCATCCTCATAATCTTCTACTTCATTATCATCTTCAACTTTGCCTTCCGACTGTGGCTCACCCAAAACTTCACCATGATGATACCAAAAGGTATAATTTCGAATTATTCCATATACTTTCAAATGTATCTCGACTATCTCACATGTTCCTAATGTTGTGTTAAAACATTTGACGCACGGACAACATATTTCATACAATTCCCCTGTTCTTCTAAAGGCATAATCCTAAAACTTCTGCACCCCAATAAAATAGGTATCGTCAAGTCAGTTATAAACAAGTTGCATCCATTGCTTACTTGGTGCCATAACCTTGAATAGAAAATAAAAAAAAGTTTTAAACAATTAAAATAACAAAAGAATGTTATGATTGTTATAAAAAGAATGCACTTTCAAAATTAAGTAGTTGTATACACATATTACTAATACACATATCCTTACTCCAAATTCTATCCATTATTAAAAGGTACACATGTTCCTGCATAAGATTTTCAGATATTTGTTAAAAACGTTTGGTACCGAAAAAAATGGCAGATTCTTGGACCTTAAAAATGGAAGTTCTACAAGAACTTCTTTTTGGGATTAAAAGATATCGTCTGGACATCTAGAAAACCCCTCTGAAGAAAAAAAGTCTTTCTTGTAATCAACACAAGTTTGTTCTATGAAACAGAAACTATTGACTTTTCACTCTGCTGAAGGTCAGTAAATTGCTATTAGGATCGAGGAGATTACAGGGGGTTTGTCTTTGACTAATGATGTACAAAAAGGAGTTGATGATAAGGTAGCTTCAGGTGATTTGAATCGATCAAACAATGCTAGTAAGCAGCAAGGAGTTACACTGGTGGCTCAAGAAGGTAACAGTGATCGAGTTGTTGCCGATCGAGTGGCGCATGCTGTAATGCCTGAAGCTATTGTTGCTATCAGTGGTGACATTACTGCTGTAGTACCAAACTCATGACCCTTCAAATAAGTCCCCAGAAGAATCGTAACGCACATCGTAAAGAAGAAAACCATCGCGGAGACGAAACTCTACAAGAAAAACTTAAATTTCTCCTCCTTGACGTACGAGCCCCATCTTTAAACCAATATTCTCACTTTTATCACTCGCACAATAACTATCACTATTCTAAACAACCCAATTGCAGAAAACAACAAAAAAAATAGAAAATTGTAGAACCAGATTTTTTATTTCTGGTTCAATCGGAAAAAAAAACAAGAAGAAGAAAAAAGGAAACGAAACAGATAAAAGAGGAAAAAATTAAACTTACTCTTGGTTAGGCAGATAATCCAATGGTAGAGGCACCAACCTTCTGATTTTGAAGTGATGAATTTTGCAATCTTCTGAGTTTGAAGTGATGAATTTTGCAACCTTCGAGTTCTAACTGATGAAGTTTGCAACCTTCTGAACTTTGAAGAGATGAAGTCGCGCTTGATTAGGGATTGAACTAGGGGTGGGCATATATCGGGTAAAACCGATAACCCGAACCGTTAATTCTTTATTGGGTTATCGGTATTGGGTTATTGGGTTAACGGTTCGGTAACGGGTTAAATTTTGTTTTTTATTGGGTTATCGGTTCGGGCTCGGTTTGCATTTTTGTTATTGGGTAAAAACCGATAACCCAATAAGAATGATGTAATTTACTAATTTACCCTTAAGTATATAATAGGGATATTTATTTTCCTAATTCCCTCTTCACTCTTCAGTCTTCAGTCGTTTGTCTCTCAGTTCTCATTCTTGTTTCCGTCGCAGCCCCCAAGAGTCAAGACGCAAGACTCACCACCAGTTCTCCGCCAGACATCAGTAGATACTGCACAGAAGTGGGAGCGTGCTTTTGTTAAGAAACAATAAAAGTTGGCAGTTTACACGTTCTGGCAGTTTGATTTCTTTGTTTTATATATTGCAATTTTTTTTAGTTGTTTTATCTTATCGGGTAAACCGATAACCGAACCGATAACGATATATAACCGATTAACCGATAACCGATAACCAATATCTTATCGGTTTGGTTATCGGGTTATGATATTTGTAAACCGATAACCGATAGACAAAACCGATAATGTTCAAAACCGAACCGAACCGACCGATGCCCACCCCTAGATTGAACTTTGAAGAGAATTGAAGTTTTACAGTGAAAAAATATTTTTGGAGTTTTTTTTTTACTTTACTTTCACATTCGCACCTCTATCCCGCTAAAATTGAGTATTAAAGACCAGATATTAACTTTTTTAGACTAGAATAAATTTAGTCGTGTATTTAGAAAATAAATTTGGTATTAGAGACAAATAAAATCTCATCCCTGTAAGTACACCTTTAGAGACCATATTTAAAACTTGTCGCTAAATACTGGTCCCTAATAAGCCTTTCTCTTTTAGTGCCCCCACGAACCCAAATATATATTTTGTTTTAAAATCGGACCTCAAATCGAGCTCCAAATTCCTAAAATTTGAAAAACCTAGGTTCTACCCAAAACACCCAATTTCCCCCATGAAAACCCTTGATTTTGAGTTAAAATCATGTGAAAAGATGATAAAGATTGAAGAAAACGAGTTAGAAATGACTTACAATCGATTTGGAGAAGAATTTTTCTTTGGAAAATTGCCCAAGAGAGTTTATATTTTTGAAGAGTTTGAAAAATGAAAGATTTTCGGCTAAGTCATGAATTTGCAGGTCGTAGATGTCGCAATTGCGAACCCCTTCAAAACCTACTAATCTCGCATTTGTGATAAATGTTCGCAATTGCGAACTCACAGTTGTGATGGGGTAGTCGCATTTGCGACTTTGGGGATTACTGGGGTTTTTCGCATTTGCGAGAAAATGCTCGCAATTACGAGCCTCACAATTACGAGCAATGCTGGCCAGGGCATACTTCGCAATTGCGAAGTGCCCCTCGCAATTCCCAAGCCTGATAGGCTCGCGATTGCGATGTATGGCCTCGCAATTGCAAGACCACAGCATGCAACACATACCAGCTGAAACCAGCAACTTTCTAAGTTCAATTTCACTCCGTGGCCTATCCAAAACTCACCCGAGCCCTCGGGGCTCCAAACCAAACATGCACACTAACCTAAAAATATCATACGGACTTGCTCGTGCAATCAAATCGTCAAAATAACATCAACAACTATGAATTAAACCCCAAATTCATGAAATATTCAAGAACACCAAATTTCTAATTTCTCAACTTTAAGTCCGTTTTATACCAAACCAATACCGATCTTTACCAAATTTTACATATTCAACCTAATTATTATTTCAAATTTGTATCGAGCTCCGGAACCAAAATACGGGCCCGATACCATCAGTTTCAAACATAATTCATTTCCAAAAACTCATATATATTTCAGAAAATAATTTTCTTTAAAAATTTATTTCTCGGTCTTGGGACCTCGGAATTCGATTCCGGGCATACGCTCAAGTCCCATATTTTCCTACGGACCCTCCAGGACCGTCAAATCATGAGTCCGGGTCCGTTTACCCAAAAATATTGACTAAAGTCAACTTAAATTTATTTTAAAAGCAAAATTTATCATTTTTCACATAATTGCTTTTCGGATACGTGCCCGGACTGTGCATGCAAATCGAGGTAAAACAGAAAGAGGTTTTTAAGGCCTCAGAACACGGAATTCATTTTCAAAACAAGTGATGACCTTTTGGGTCATCACATTCTCTACCTTTAAAACAACTGTTCATCCTCAAACGGATATAATAAGGAAGTACCCAAGGCGGAGAAAAGATAGGGATAACGGCTCCGCATATCGGACTCGAACTCCCAGGTCGATTCCTCAACAGGCTGACCTCTCCACTGAACACGTACAGAAGGGAAATTCTTCGATCTCAATTGGCGAACCTGCCGGTCTAGAATAGCTACCGGCTCCTCCTCATAGGACAAGTCCTTGTCCAACTGGACAGTGCTGAAGTCTAACACGTGGGATGGATCGTCGTGATACTTCCGAAGCATGGACATATGAAACACTGGATGCACAACTGATAAACTCGGCGGCAACGCAAGTCTGTAAGCCACCTCACCCACTCGATCAAGAATCTCAAACGGGCCAATGAACCTAGGGATAAGCTTGCCCCTCTTCCCAAATATCATCACGCGCTTCATAAGCGACACCCGAAGCAACACCCGCTCACCGACCATGAATGCCAAATCATGAACCTTATGGTTGGCATAACTCTTTTGCCTGGACTGATTTGTACGAAGCCTATCCTGAATAATCGTGACTTTGTCCAAGGCATCCTGTACTAGATCCGTACCCAACAATTGAGCCTCTCCCGGCTCAAACCATCCAACCGGTGACCAACACCGCCTTCCATATAAAGCCTTATAAGAAACCATCTGAATGCTCGACTGGTAGTTGTTGTTGTAGGCAAACTATGCTAAAGGCAAAAACTGATCCCACGAGCCTCCAAAGTCGATGACATAGGCTCGGAGCATATCCTCCAAAATCTGAATAGTGCACTCGAACTGCACGTCCGTCTGAGGATGAAATGATATGCTCAACTCAACCCGTGTGCCCAACACCCGCTGAACTGCTCTCCATAAATGTGAGGTAAACTATGTACCTCGGTCTGAAATGATAGACACGGGCACACCATGAAGACGAATAATCTCTCGGATATAGATCTCAGCTAACCTCTAGGAAGAATAGGAGACTACCATAGGAATGAAATGTACTAACTTGGTCAGCCTATAAACAATAACCCACACTGCATCGAACTTCTTCTGAGTTCGTGGGAGTCCAACAACGAAGTACATAGTGATACTCTCCCACTTCCACTCAGGAATCTCAATCTTCTAGAACAAACCACCAGGTCTCTGATGCTTGTACTTTACCTGCTGATAACTCCAACACCGAGCCACATATGCAACAATATCCTTCTTCATTCTCCTCCACCAATAATGTTGTCGCAAATCCTGATACATCTTAGCGGTGCCCAGATAAATAGAGTACCGGGAACGATGGGCCTCCTCCAAAAACAACTCCCGGAGCCCATCCACATTAGGCACACAAACTCGATCCTGCAGCCTGAAAACTCCATCATCTCCTAATGTAACCTTCTTGGCACCTCCGTGCTGCACTGTGTCTCTAAGGACACACAGATGAGGGTCATCATACTGCCGATCTCGGATAGGCTCCAATAAAGAAGAACGAGTGACTGTGCAATCTAACACACGGTTGGGCTCAGAAACATCCAACCTCACGAACTGATTGGCCAAAGCCTGAACATCCAAATCAAGCAGTATCTCCCCGACCGGAATATACGCAAGCTTTTCCATACTAGCTAACTTCCTACTCAAAGCATTGGCCACCACATTGGCCTTTCCCGGATGATATAAGATGGTGATATCATAGTCCTTCAATAGCTCCAACCACCTTCTCTGCCTCAAATTTATCTCCTTCTGCTTGAACAAGTACTTCAGACTCTTGTGATCTGTGAAGACCTCACATGACACGCCATATAGATAATGCCTCCAAATTTTCAATGCGTGAACAATGGCTGCTAACTCCAAATCATTGACTAGATAGTTCTTCTCATTAATCTTCAACTGCCGTGAAGCGTAGGCAATGACCTTGCCATCCTGCATCAACACCGAACCAAGTCCAATATGAGATGCATCACAATAAACTGTATATGGCCTTGAACCTATGGGCAAAACCAACACTGGTGCTGTAGTCAAAGCTGTCTTGAGCTTCTAAAAGATCACCTCACACTCGTCTGACCACCTGAACTGGGCACCCTTATGAGTCAACCTGGTCATCGGGGCTACAATAGATGAAAACCCATCCACAAACTAACGATAATAGCCTTCCAAACCCAAGAAACTCCGGATCTCTGTAGTTGATGCGGGTCTAGGCCAGTTCTTTACTGCCTCTATCTTCTTTGGATCTACCTGAATACCCTCTGCTAATACAACATGACCCAAGAATGCAACGGAACTCAACCATAACTCACACTTCAAAAACTTAGCATACAACTGACTATCTCTCAAAGTCTGGAGGACCACTCTTAGATGTTGCTCATGCTCCTCCTAACTGCGGGAATAGATCAAAATATCATCAATGAAGACTATCACGAATGAATCCAAGTAAGGTCTGAACACTCGGTTCATCAAATCCATAAAAGCTGCTAGTGCATTTGTCAACCCAAATGACATCACCATGAACTCATAATGCCTGTATCCAGTGCGGAAAGCTATCTTAGGGACATCAGATGCCCTAATCCTCAACTGATAGTAGCCAGATCTCAAGTCAATCTTCGAAAATACCTTGGCACCCTGAAGCTGATCAAACAAATCATCAATCCTCGGCAATGGATACTTATTCTTGATTGTAACCTTGTTCAACTACCGGTAATCTATACGCATCCTCATCGATCTGTCCTTCTTCTTAACAAATAACACCGGCGCACC